TCACTCCCAGACAACAGGGATCTATATATTCATCTACTGTAGTGGTTCCCAACCTTGTGGGTCACCCAGGTGGCTCTTGGACTGCAATTCCCAGAAACCTTCACCACCAACTGTGCTGGACCAGGGTTTCTGGGAACTGCAGTCCAAAAACACCTGGGTGACCCAAGGTTGGGAACCGTTGATGTATTTATTGCAGATCAACTCACTTTCAGTTTCTTGACTCTTTGCTCAATGGCCGGGATGCTGGTGGGCGGTTCCTCCTCCTGCAACTCTTCCAGCTCCTCTTCCACGGTATCCAACCAGGCATTGACGTTGGCGAGGTCAGAGTTCAGCTGCTGCCACTGTTGCAAATTCTGCTTCATTCTCAGCTTGTTGCTTAAGTCTTGGGCTTGAATGAGCTCCCACCGCTCCACGGCTCCTGCAGGTTCATTGCATAATTATTCAGGTCAGAGTTCAGCTGCTGCCACTGTTGCAAATTCTGCTTCATTCTCAGCTTGTTGCTTAAGTCTTGGGCTTGAATGAGCTCCCACCGCTCCACGGCTCCTGCAGGTTCATCGCATAATTATTCATGCTAAAAATAATCATTCTCAAAAAACCCCCACCTTTTTTTCCCTGGCCGTCAGGAAAGAAATAAAGGCCATATCGGGACTGTAGAAGTCGCCAAACAAACAAACAAACAAATAAATTCATGCTAAAAATAATCATTCTCAAACCCCCCCACCTTTTTTTTTTCGCCATCATTAACACAATAGGAAGGAAATAAAGGCCATATCAGGACTGTAGAAGTCACATAATGAACCCTACAAAGTGGTGTGTGAAGAACTGTTTCGGGTCTGTGCCCCCCTTCAAATAGGTTTCCACACCCCTCCCCAGAGGGGGAACAATATAGTTCTGAAAAAAGACTGGGGAACATGAGACCAAGGGCTATGAATGTGGCACCCTTTGAGGAAGGAGGATTTCTATACTATGGTGGCTACTATACCAACACAGAGGCCAGTGTATGTTTACAAGCAGGGTTTATGTGACTGTATTCTGTTACAATAATACCCCAGCAATCTGTATCTTAATCAGCTGACAATCCAAGGTCGTGAGCCCTGAATACTTTCAAATTATTGCTTTTCAACGCATGTACAGAAGCAGCGGCCCTGGATCCACGGCCCTGCAGGGTCACGGAGATCTACAACGACTCCTGAAGATGATGATGGCAATGGGCCTGCCCTGCAAAGCCACCGTCTCCTCCCTGCACGGATGATGCCTTGAAAGTGGCGAAGCTGTGATTAAGCTCTGTTTTAAATAAAATCGGTTTCGTCATCTCTGGGTAGCCACAAGTTAAAGAAACCGGGTGCTGCCTTTGTGTGTGCGCGCAACCGCCAGGGCAGTGAGAAAAGAGCCTCTTTGCCACTTTGACGACATCATGGGTTACACCCTTCCTTTCTAAGGCAGTGTCTCTTGATCCAGCTGACTGCTAGAAATGGACACAAGCCACTTTGCCCCAATTCGCCCCACTCAGGTCTATGTACCATCGTCTGGCCCATTTGAATCGCCCGTTCGGCGCCTTTCAAAACAACTAACTTGTGAATAGAAATGGGCACTAACATGTTTTTCCCAGTTCCTCAAGATAGCAACACCAAGTGCTGATCCTCCTCCTTTCCCCCCCGCCTCTTCAGCCAATCCAGCCTCTCTCCAGGCCCAGCTTAATTGCCTTTCCCCACCTCCTCAGCTGATCTCCCAGTCACGAGCAAGAGCACAGTCTTCTCTGCCCCGCCCCTTTTCTCTGATTGGGAGATCAGCCAAGAGGGCGGGGCAGAGAAGCCTGAGCTCTTGTCGGGACTGGGAGATCAGTCGAGGAGGGGCCGGAAGCTACCATACCCGGTCTGATGAGTGGCTGGATGAGCCAGATAGGGTGGGGGAGGGGAGCAGCAGCACTTTGACAAACTGGGAAGAACTGGGACCGACTGGTTTGTGCCCATTTCTACTCACTGTGATTCACAGAAACTACACACAGACAGATATTACCTTTTTTTTAACAAGACCCGTTGCTAATGTACCTGGTTGTTTCTCCATAGCTGCGACGCCAACAAAATCCTGGCTGTCTTGGGATTCTTTTGTAGGCGAGACGGCAGAGATCTCCTTCACGCTGTCTATACTGTCCGTACTCAGCTGTTTCGCCTGGGATAGGGTGATGCAACCAAAATAAAGACGCTTCAGTAAAGTCCAATGATCTAGCATTGGTCAACTATAGCAAAGTCTTTCTGTACTGGAATGATCAGGCAGCTGGTGCTGGGGTTAGGTGTGTGAAACTTGCAGCCTCTCACTCTTGGAGAGGAACTGAGAAGGAAAAATCCCTTTTCTTCTCACCGTAATATTTCTCTACATGAAATCCTGGCAATCAGAAGAAATGCTGCAGGATTTATTAGCAATGTGGTGTTTCTTGTTTTTTTTTTTTCTGGATTAAATGCCCAACGATTTTTGCACAGAACGGCATCTTTCCTGCACCGTATTCATCCCAGAATCATGGAGTCGGAAGGGGCCTATAAGCCAATGGAGCCGAGCCCCCTGCTCAGTGCAGGAATACAAATCAAAGTGTGTCTGCCAGGCAGTTGTCTAAATTTCTCTTAAATGCCTCCCATGTTGGAGGACTAAACATCTCCTGAGCTTATGGATTCCACTGTCATAGGGCTCTAACAATTTGGCAGCTTTTCCTGATATTCAACTGAAATCTGGTTTCCTGTACCTTCAGCCCATGATTATGTGTCTTGCACTCTGGCATAGCTGAGAACAGATCCTGCCCCTGCTCTGTATGGCAGTCTTCTGTTTATTTGAAGAGTGCTAAAATATATATCCTCAAGTCTCAAGGCTAAAGATGCCCAGTTCTTTCAGCCTTTCCTCATAAGGCTTGGTTTCCAGCCCCAATCATCCTTGTCGCCCTCCTCTGAACTTGTTCCAATTTGTCAGCATCCTTCTTGAAGTGGGGTGTCCAGAACTGGACACAATACTCAAGGTGAGGCCTAACCAGTGCTGAACAGAGGGGGACTAGCACCTCGTGGGATTTGGAAACTATACTTCTATTAATACAGCCTAAATAGCACTGGTCTTTTTTTGCAGTTGCATCATATGGCTCATATTCAGTTTGTAATCTACAACAACTCCAAGATCCTTCTCACATGCAGTATTACTGAGACAAGTATTCTCCATCTTGTAATTGTGCACTTGATATTTTGGGTGTTCCGGCGGCGATTTTGGGTGTTCCAGCAGGGATTTTGGGTGTTCCGGCGGCGATTTTGGGTGTTCCGGCGGCCATTTTGGAACCGCCGAACAGCTGTTCCCCCATCGCAATGCGAAGAAACATCAGTATGCGATCGCATTAGCGATCGCAAAATCCGCATCGCTATGCGGATTCATCGTTAAACGGTGCGCTCGTTATGCGAGGCACCACTGTATTTCTATTAAGGCAGCCTAAATAGCACTGGTCTTTTTTTGCAGTTGCATCATATGGCTCATATTCAGTTTGTAATCTACAACAACTCCAAGATCCTTCTCACATGCAGTATTACTGAGACAAGTATTCTCCATCTTGTAATTGTGCACTTGATGTCTGTTTCCTAGAACCTTGCACTTATTCCTGGTAAACCCCTTTCTGTTGTTTACAGCCCATGGCTTGAGCCTTTTAAGATCCAATTGAATTTTTTTCCTGTCTTCCAGGGTATTAGCTATTCTACCCAATTTTCTATTGCCTGCAAATCTGATAAGCATTCCCTGCACCACCACCCCACCATCCAAGCCACTTCTCACCTCCTCCCAGTTTGAGAAGGAACCATTGCTAAGCACTCTCTGAGTACAATTCTGCAACCAATTGTGTATCCACCTGACAGTTGTTCTCTCCAGCCCTTAGTTAGCTTGCTAATCAAAATATCATGGGGCACTTTGCTGAAGTTAAAATATATTATCTCTACAGCCTTCCCACCAGGGAGGTTAACCAATCATAATGAGATTGGAAAGTGCATTAAGCTGTGCAGAATTTCACAACATCCTGCTCATAACAAGAGATAAAGAAAATGGAAAATAAAAATTAGAATAAAAATAAAAGGAGAAGGCAGGAGTAATAGATATTTCACCCTGGAGCATTAAGGGATTCTTCACTGTTCTCAAAATTAGAGATTAGTAAACATTGTTTTCCCCCAGCAGTCTCTTTCAACAATGGTTTCTGTTTTGACCTACAAGCTTTTTCTACTCTTATCTCCAACCAGCAAACAGAGTTATTTAAAGCCAAGGAAGGTTTTGCATGGAACTGAACTTTGATTTGCAGAGCACGGAGTTGTACCCCTGCTTAAATCTGAGCTGTGCTATCTATGGCTGGTAGGAATCTGTCCAAATCAATAAGGCTTGGTCCCTGTGCCTTTAGATCCACCAGCTGCTCACGTGTGTTCCCCAAACATTTCTAAATCAAAATTGCAGGCCAAAAAAATCCCCCACACCAGCCTAAGAGTGAATCCAGCCTTCTTGTCTTGGAATATACTTGCATCTAGGACTTACGTAGCCTGGTTTGTAAGGAGTGCTGGTTTCCAGGCTGCCAGATAAGACATCTCGAATCATCTCCTCTTGCTTGTACGGAGATTTCCGACAAGTGGAACTCTCTGGAGAGTGCCATGTATGCGTTTCAGACACAGATTTTCCTGTTGCAGGAGATCACAAAAGAAATCCACAGAAAATTAGGTGCCGGGGTAGTGGTAAGAGAAATGCCGGTTATTTTATTAATAATGCATTAAAAGCATTCGGCAGAAAGGGAAAAAAAACAAGTAATGGCATGGGGGAAAAATGAGTTTCGCCATTTTCCTTGCAAAGCATGCTTGTTTGCAAACATATGTCAGTGGTATTTTGGGGGCAATGAAATGACAGCCATGCAGTTATGGGGAGACTTAGTCTTTTCTTTTCCTGAAAATGCCAATGCGTCAACACCACCACCAAAAAGAGGGGTGGGAGGGAGACTTAGAAGCTAGTTTAGAAGGAAGGGCTGGGCCTTTAAAGCTAACCAGTATGAGGTGCCCCATCTCAGACAGTAGATCTCAGGACTTTAATAAAGGGCAGGAAAGAATAATGATTCTGCTCCTTGCTCCATGTTTTTTATTCTAAGCCTACAAAAATGTCTGTGCACTTCACCTGGTGCAACGAGCAGATCTGTGAGGATCCCAGGCTTTTGTCTGCAGTGAGGAGAGAGGATGTAAACTGACAACATCTGACACTTATAAGGAATCTACAGAACTGCTGGCAGCCTTTTAAAAGAGCAAACGGGGCCATTGGCCTGATTTGGGAATTACTCATCTTAATCCTAAAGGGATGTGGTGGCGCTGCGGGCTAAACCGCAGAAACCTTTGTGTGCTGCAGGGTCAGAAGACCAGCAGTTGTAAGATCGAATCCACGCGACGGAGTGAGCTCCCGTCGCTTTGTCCCAGCTCCTCGCCAACCAAGCAGTTCGAAAGCATGTAAATGCGAGTAGATAAATAGGTACCATCTTGGTGGGAAGGTAAACAGCATTCCGAATCTAAGTTGCGCTGGCCACGTGACAACGGAAACTGTCTTTGGACAAACGCTGGCTCTAAGGCTTGGAAACAGGGATGAGCACCGCCCCCTAGAGTCGAACACGACTGACTAAAATGTCAAGGGGAACCTTTACTTTTACCATCTTAATCCTATGTTTTATACCATCTGTGCTTTGTGAAGGGTTCTGGAGAACTCCAAATTTGCCTTATTGGTAAGTGTTTAGTGATCCAAGAAAGGTACAACCAAACCCAGAACTTGTTTTCTATGGGTGGATCACAGAACAACTTCTTTTATTGATTCACTATAATATTTTACCACTAAACAGGAAGGATTCTGTCTGAATTTTCAGTTTTCCTGTATCAGGAGCTTTTCCCAGCCATCTCAGTTGAGAACCTAACTCCTTAATGAATACGTTAAGGCAGCAAACAAGGCATGTTGCAGATAAGCGAGGGGACTCCAGAACAACTTCTTTTATTGATTCACTATAATATTTTACCACTAAACAGGAAGGATTTTGTCTGAATTTTCAGTTTTCCTGTATCAGGAGCTTTTCCCAGCCATCTCAGTTGAGAACCTAACTCCTTAATGAATATGTTAAGGCAGCAAACAAGGCATGTTGCAGATAAGCGAGGGGACTCCTCTCTTTGATTGGGTAGGAAAGTTTTTTTAAAATTTTTTAATGGTTCCTATAAATATGTACTGTACCCAGATGTGGCCTCGTGAAGCTCTGGGCTGAACAGCAGAGCATGTCTTAAAAGCTAAACTAAGCGGTGTCGCCATAGCTGACAAAAATGTTCACTCCAGACCACCTAGTAAGGAATGGGCATCAGAAAATTTTGGACCCTTGATTCTGATGCCTATCCAACCATCTTTGCACTGGATGACACAAAGAGAACCCAAGTACAGCATTCATCTTGATTAATGTACAGACACGTGTGGATGGTGCAGTGTTAAAAAAAAAGAGTAAACGAAACAAAAAGAGAGAGAGAGAGCCCACCATGACCCCGTCGGCCCATGGTGTCAACACAAGCCAAGGAGTCGGAAGCTTGCATATGGGAGAGGTGTGGGGGGAGCATAGCGTGCGGCGGGGTTTGGGTGGGGCGAGACTGTCACGTTGAGACACATGCAGTAGCAGGTGCCTACCAGAAGCGGCTTTCAAAGTTTTTGTGGTCATTTTAAGATATGCCTCGGGATGGTCAGGGATTTCAAGATCTGAAAAAAGAATTAACGTCACCCCATCGCCTTGCTTGATGCAAAACGAGACGGCCCACACGCTCTCTCTCCCCCACCCGGCCTAAACAGTCCATGCAGGGTTCGGGAAGCCTAATGGTCTTTCCCCCAAAGAAGCTCCTTGCATGACTTTGGGGACCTCACACAGAGCCTTTTCCTCTTCTTGGCCCTCTTGCCCAGATAGAATGCCTCAGAAAACAGAGGTTTTTATTGGTTTATTTTTCACATTTACAGCCTGCATGTCTTCCAGAAAGCCCACAGCCGAGGATATGGCTTTCCTCCTCACTTTATCCTCACAAGAGCTCTATCAGGGAGGTCAGGATGAGAAGGGGTGGCTGGCCCAAGGTCACCCAGGGAGTGTCCTTGACAATTGGGGGAACTGAACTCAGGTTCCTTGTGTACTAATCTGGCCGGATAACTCAGTGGTTTCGGGTTTTGGCTGCGGAGCCAGAGGTGGGGCGCTTGATTCCCCACTGGGCCTTCTGGGGGAAGAAGCCATCTGTGTGGCCTTGGGCAAGCTGCACAGTCCCAAGAGAAGGGAATGGTAAACCAGTACCTGGAAAATCTCCATACAATAAGTCAGAACGGATTTGACAGAAACATGGATTTCCTCAGTACTACCACTGTGAACCACAACAACCTGCTAGCTGTCCTGACAAGGTCTACGGAGTTCCACTGCAACTGCTACACTGTACTGCCTCAAAGCTCCCATTCTGCAGGAATTCTTCACCTCTCCTTTATCATTCTCCTTAGCAGAAGATTGTCCTTCTTCAGTAGGAGGGGAGGCTGAGCAAGGACATTCACTGCTACAAGAGATAAGAGGAATCTTCTGTCCTCTTGCCCCACATTTTAGCTGACAAAAAGGTGTTGGGCAGACTTTGGCAGTCTCAACATGCAGACCCCCTTCCATGATGACTGCAGCCAAGCTTTGATGTGAGAAAACGAAACGGCTATCTTCAAGAAGCTTTCCAAAGTCTCAGAAGGAATGTCTGAGCACAGGGAAAAGAGATAGGCATGAACCGCTAATGGAATGTTTCCACAAGGTGCCCACCTCCTCGCGACAGACGGCACCAAACCATTGCTTCCCATCTTTGCAACAGATTCTGCCGGAATTGCAAAAGCCCATGTGGAAGCTATGGGAAGAGAATTCATGTGATGGAACATATGCAAAGCCATTCACACAACATGGCATGTTTCATTTTCTAGGTATAGATGTTTGCACTCCTACTTTGATTCAAAGAGCTTTGCTGCCTATTAACACAGAACGAGGTGACAAAGACTTCTGGACTGCAATGTGGGGGAAGAGATTTCGTTTTGCTGAATGCCCTCCAGGCATTAAAAAGTCCCCTGCATTAAGTAAGCTAGCACATCAGGGTGGCCTGCAATAAAACTGTCCTCTTAGGTTCCAGAGGGCAGTACCCAAACGAATCAACCTGAATTACAAAAAAAGGAGATTTCAGTTAAACATTAGGAAGATCTTCCTAGCAATAAGAGCAGTTTGACAAGAGAATGGAGGTGGTGGTCGGCTCTCCTTTGTTGCGTAGCCCTCTTTTAAGGTTGCTTCAGGTCTAGATTTCCCATGGCAACAGGAGGTTGGATCTGCTGACCTCTGAGGTCCCTTCCAGGATCACAATTCTATCATTCTATAGCAATCTGCCATGGCTCTCCAGCATATAGCAGGCAATACTATGATCTGATGGTTGTTGTGGGTTTTCGGGCTCTTTGGCCGTGTTCTGAAGGTTGTTCTTCCTAACGTTTCACCAGTCGCTGTGGTCGGCATCTTCGCAGGACAGCATTCTGTGCTCTGGTCTAGTTGGCTTGGGAGTGCAGTATTTATGGCTGTGAGATAGGCTTTTGTCTTTTTCTGTAGATGGGCGATTAGTGTGTATTGTTGTGGGTGCATTGCTCTGCTAAAGAGAAGAGATTATCTGTTCCTGTGCTGTCCTCTGAAGATGCCGGCCACAGAGACTGGCGAAACGTTAGGAATAACAACCTTCAGAACACGGCCAAAGAGCCCGAAAAACCCACAACAACCATCAGATCCTGGCCGTGAAAGCCTTCGTGAATATATTGAACGCCTCTACGGGGAGGAAACAGACAGACAGACCCGGAGACTGGAAACACTTCGAAGCAAAAGAGCACACCTACTATGTTCCTTAACATTTCTACTACGCTGCAGAGACATAAAAACCATACCAGCCTTCCTCAGGACAAAAAGGACCATCATTTCCCCATTGGCCAGCCGCATCTATGACCGCCTGGAACATGCCCTCCTACGGGAAAGAATCCACACAACCCGCAAAAAACTGGACTCCACAGACAAAGAACTACTAGGCCTACACATCACTATCAGCCAAAAAATGAGAAGTCAAGATTGCGACAAGATTGATACCCTCTCTTACAAAAAGATGGAAAAAGAAATGATGAACCACACAGCCAGACAAAAACAGAAATTCTTAATTAATGTGAGAGTTTGAGTGTAACACAACAAGCGTCTTTCCTCCAAGATTATGGAGATTAGCTCACTTCATTTGGTAACTGGTCTTCAAAAGATATTTTGAAGTCTGACTTCACAAACATGGAAAGACTGCCTTAGTCACTTCTCTGCAACTTTAATGGCCTTTCAGCTATAATAACAGCTTCACTCTAACATCTGTTCCAGCCCAAGCATTTTTTCATTCCATGTTTGCATTAGTTTGCAGATGCAGCAAGAAGTCATCTGCACAAGAATCCAGAAATGTTTTAGTGCCCATTGTCCATCATATATACCTCTGATATACAGTTTTTAGTACTGTAGATGTGTTTTCCACCATATACTGTAGCTTTTTTTGGGCACAGACTTTTAATGGCACTTTTAGAATTGTGAAGAGGATCACCAAAAAAATGACAAATAAGGATATGAGCATAGCAGGATAGTCTGATTCATTTATAAAGTTTGACAGGTCCAAATCTGGTATATTCATATAAAAATCCAAAATTGATTGATTTGTCACGAATCTCTAGGCTGGGGACAGAGCTAACAGGCTAGTGCAAATAACTACCCACAGTGGAGAGAGAGTGTTACTTCTGTGCCAGTGTACACTTCACACAAGGTTCATGCCATATCAACACAGCTTGTATATGTGTTGCACACACATTTGTTCTCACTGTATCACATACATTTTATATACTATTTTGCAATATTTACATAAAGGACAACCCTCTTGTTTCTCTGATTTTGTCCCTGAAGGAGTGAGAAGTTGCTGACTTGACAAATGAGAAGTTTCAAAACTGCAGTGTTACAAATAATTATATAGAACTGCCTACAGATCTTGACACACCAAAGCTGATGACCAGCAGCCAACCAGCCTTACATTCTGATCTGTCAGGTGCTTGCCAAGGGACCTCCAAGCGGAGAAAAGTTCACTGGCTCCTGGCAACACATGGCACATGGCTGAGAGTCTGCCTTCAGCTTGCTGGATTATAATCTCCAGTTTGTATAGGCTATATGGAGTGACTACAGGGATCAAAGGCCATTAACAAGGAGTGGCCTGTTGCAGTGTGTATGTAACAGAAGGACAGGTAGAATGACTCCTTTCCACCCCAGAGGTACATCTGCTATTAGTGCATCTTGTTTTCTCCAGGTGCTGGCCGAACCATCCACCCACTTCTTATCGCTGTTTTGTTAAAGGAAGCTGACACCCTCTGGAAGCATTCCATTAGAAGTTACTATTTAATTGTGGTGGAATCGCTAACAGGAAGTTGTTGGAAGGACTCCAGTAGTCTTCCCTATGGAATAAGGAATATGAACAATGAGAGAAGCATCCACACCAGAATCAAAGAACATGAGAAACACTGCAGACTAAAACAACCAGAAAAATCTGCAGTAGCTGAACATGCCCTGAAACAAACTGGACATGAAATTCTATTTCAAAATACTGAAATACTGGACAACACCAGCAATCATTACGTCAGACTGCACAGGGAAGCCATTGAAATCCACAAGCACCTGCATAGTTTCAACAAAAAAGAGGAAACTGTGAAGCTCAACAAAACTTGGCTCCCAGCTCTCAAAAATACAGCGTGCAAAAGGTCAACGATCTCTACCCAGCCACAAGGACAGGGGATCACTACACAGGAAAGACCAGCTAATGACACCCATCAACCACAGGAACAGATAATCTCTTCCCCTTAGCACAACAATACACCCACAACAATACACACTAATCGCCCATCTACAGAAAAGGACAAAAGCATATCTCACAGCCATAAATACTGCACTCCCAAGCCAACTACACCAGAGGACAGAGTGCTGTCCTCTGAAGATGCCGGCCACAGAGACTGCCGAAACATTAGGAAGAACAACCTTCAGAGCACGGCCAAAGAGCCCGAAAATCCCACAACAACCATTAGATCCCGGCCGTGAAAGCCTTCGCGAATATATTGATACCATGATCTGTCTAGCCCAATATCATCTATTCTGAGCACCAGCGGCTCTCTAGTGTTCCAAGCAAAAAGGACCTTTTTGGTTGTTGTTTTTTAACACACAATGCCAAGTATTGAAGTCAGGACTATCTGTCTACAAAGCATATGCTCTGTCATCAAGCTATAGTTGCTCCTTAGATATGAATCACACACCACCTTTAAAATGAAGTACTTTGACCCCAATAAGGATAGATGCATGTGATAATTTTGGTTTGACTCAGTGTCTTATTTTCTTCCAATCATGTATTTATCCCATCTTGTTCCCTTTCTGGTTTGTGATTTTCGTACGCCTGAAGCTGCAGCCTCCGTCTGCCAAGCAAGTATAATCCACTATTCGCATCAGTTTTGTAAACTGCATCAAAAATGTGGAAAAGGATGAATCCTGTGGATAACTGGATTTGGTTTTCCACTTCAGTGAATAAGGTATGGTTTATGAGTGAATGAAAGAAACTTTCATTTCTTTCGCCCCTTGGTCCAGAAGTCTCTCACCTCATTCTGTGTAATACATACCCTGTTTCCCCGAATGTAAGACCTAACCTGAAAATAATCCCTAGTATGATTTTTCAGGATAATCGTAATATAAGCCCTAGCCCCAAAATGATCCCCAGTTAAGTGGAACCCTGCCCTCCACCCTTGTGCAGCAACCAGAATAAGATGACATGACTATATTTGAATAAACGTAAACTGTTGTACATAAAAAAAAATAAAACATCCCCTGAAAATAAGCTCTCCTGTGTTTTTTGGAACAAAAATGAATATAAGACCCAGTCTTATTTTCGGGGGAACATGGTATACGAGCAACACTGAACTGGAGAAATGGAAAAGGTCTTCTGCTGACATGCCTTTGCATGGCTGTGTTGCTATAATTGAGTCTTTGATGCTTGCCAACTGGATTTGTTCAAGTCACCATTTCTAGCCAAGGTGAAAAAATGGCTAGGATGGCAAAAGGGGGCGAGGACTCACCTGAGAGAGCACTGAAGTACGGTTCTTCCTCCTCATCCTCTGGAGAAGAGGAGCCCCCCACATCCCCAGTGTGATCCCACTCCAGAGGAATGGAGTCCACGCTGACAGGTGTCTCACAGCCTGACCTCTCTTGACCCACAGCTGGAGGCATGAGGTGGCAGAGAGACTGCTGGGAGGGAGGCATCTCGTGCATGGCTTTCTTGTGCCAGGGCATTGTCCTCCCCTCTTCCATCTCAGCCTCGTTTTCAGATGTCTCTCTTTCATCTTCTAGTCCCTAAAAGAGAAAATAAGGATGTTATTCTCTAGGGCAGCTTAACAACATCAACAAGGTGACCTAACAATAATCTGATAAAATACCAGATTTTACCCATTGTCACTTGGAAGAGGATGCTTCTTTGGAAGCATAACTTCCAGAATCTGTCAGCCCATGGTCAAGACACTGTAAATATATCTATCATACAATCAAAAAAGGAGAAGAATTAAAAAAAAAACCCCACCTCCCAATCAAATGGTCAAATTAACTGAAAGGCAACCATCAGATGACACCAGCAACAGGCATCGAACAAATTATAACAGATCAAAATTAAATAGATATGATCCAATACAACAAAAAATTGATAAAACTTCTATCCCAAAAATGAAATATAGCAGCGGGTCACAGAATTAATATCAGATATTGCCAGAGGCCTCCTTGAACTGTTTTTAGTCTTCAATAATTGTAGGGTGGGGTCCTGCCTGATCTCTCATGGAACTTTATTCCATAAAGAGGGTGCCGCAGCTGAAAGAACTATAAATAAAATAAATAGGCCCTTGAGCTTTCACCCTGGGACCAAAGTAGAACTTTGCAGCATGGAAATATGCCTTCCCTATTAATTTGGGGAGGGGGGAAGAGAGATTACTTTTAATCAGTCATCCAGAAAATCCACCCTGAATGACTTTTATCGCTCACTCGCAAGGATTGTGAACAAAGTACGGGAGTTTCTGCCCCTAGAATGCAAACTCAAGTGGGTGTCAGCGAAAGACACGGCTCTTACTGGGTGCCAGGATGCCAGCTTTTGGTAGAATCGAGAGACCCGGCCAAATACTTCCTGGCAGTATCTGTTCAGCTCTTCCAACTCCTCTTCAATTATGACGGCGTCTGACGGCTCACTTTTCTGGATCAGATGCTCCCCGAACAGAATGAGATGATCGATCTTGTTGGTGTTCAGCATTATTTCCTGCTGGAAACCCTGCTTACAAGAAAAGTGAGGATGTTTCTTAATCGTTTCTTAGCTCTCCATATGTTGCTGGGCTGCAGCTCCCCCAGCCTCTTCCTTGTGTATTCTTTTTGGCTGTGGCTGATGGGAATCGGAGTCCCACAACATCTGGAGGAATCAGGAGTCCCAACAACATTCCCCCACAGGCAGCTCACAATGAGAGCAGGCCCCTTCCTCCCATGTCAGGGGCAGGGATCCCTTCTGCTCAACCTACAAGCTGTTTCTGCATTCACTGCATCTGCAATAGATGGTCTTCGGGGCAGGGGACAGTTTGGCAAAACAACTCTGAAAGCTAAAGCAAGTAGGATCAACTCTATTTGTTTTTGGAGAGGACACCAGGCGACTCCTGTTGAAACCGCCTACATTTTGGAACCTGTTAATTAAAACAGCAGCAGCAGCAGGAACAGACACCTGGCTCTGAGATAATCAGCAGAACAATTTGTAACGTATTTATCATGAAGCAGCTAAAAAAAAATCAACACCTACATTTAGCTGCCGCAGTTTGTCCTCAAAGTTGCTTTCTGAGAAATGTTCCACGTTTGTGAGCTGCAGATCCATTTCGGTCAGCCATACCAGGATGCAGTCCTTGGTGGTCATAAATTCTTCCCACTGACTGGCGAAGTGCTAAAGGCAATGAGAGGAAATCGTGACCCATGCACGGCCGTTGTCCCGGCACATTCTGCCCTGCAAAATTGCTGTTTGTCTGATGAATGCTCTGCCTTGGGAAAGCAACTTTTCTGACGTAACAGCTCCCGGGAATCCCTGATCTTTCTCTAATAGCCCTAATTTTATCCCAGATTCTAGAGTGTTGCATTCCAAACACGCAACTTTTGCTAGCACTAGAGTTCCTTGTTGACTGTTGCGACGTGACACTGTCACCCCCATGAACTTAGAAATTTAAAACGCAACAAACCTGGGAATCATGCCGATTGGGGTTATTCATATTTCAGTAAAGATTTAATGGGAAAAATCTCACTTATGTGCTTATCTTTTTTCCAAGGAGCTCAAGCAGCACATGGGGTTCTTCCTCATTTGTACTGTTTTATTTTGATAGTCATCGTGCATGGCAGGCTAGTCTAAGAAAGGGTGCACGACGAGTCACCTAGTCTGCACTTGAGGACTTGAACCTGGGTCTTAGTTGGCCCTAGTTGGACACGCTAACCACTATACCACACTGATGTATTTTAAGAGCTCTAAACATTATTGCAATTCTCTGAGGATGCTGAGATTTTGCACAAAGAAGGTCTCTGGTTCAAGCCCTGGCACCTCCCAGCAAACAAAGATATCTGGGCTGGAAAAGCATGCCTGAGATCCTGTCCTCCTGCAGAGGAAAGATGATGAGTATGTGGCACAGGCAATGACAGGCAAGGTCCAGTGCTCAGTCACTACTGCTCAGATCACAGCTCTGTTGGATCTGGCCAAGCTGGTCCAACATTTTATTCCTCCAGGGACCAAGCAGTTGCTTGTGGAAAGACAGCAAGCGAGTGCAAGATTACAACAGCAGTTGCTCACATGCTTCCCAAAATCATACACAAACACGAGCTTCATACACAAATATGAGTCTATTGCTTCTGGTATTTGAGATTATACTGTATATGTCCATCGTGATTGATAGCCCATCTTCCATGAATTCGCCACACTGCCCTTCAAAACTGCCCAAGGGGAGGCGGCGGCATCATGACATCCTGTGGCAGTGAGTTCCACAGTTTAAATATGCATTGTGTGAAGATGTACTTCTTCTTTGTCTCCCCTGGCCCTCCCCTCCTTCAGCTTCAGTGGATGGATTCAAGTATTATTAGACAGTATTAGAAGTATTACTAGAAAAAATCTAGAAGTATTACTAGAAAAACTCCTCTCTCTCTCCATTTCCCCCATAATTTTATGCATCTGTATTGTGGTTTCTCAGTTTTTAAGCTAAGTAACCCCAAACATTCCAGCTACTCCTTATAAAGGAGTTATTCCAGTCTGTTGATCCTTTTCTGCACCGCTACTGTGCAATCACCTTGAGTCTCCGGAGAATGGCTGTGACACGCCTCTGGAGGTTGTCCCATCGCTGGTTACCCTCATGTACCATCTGCTTGAGCTTGCTGGCTGAATCAGTGCGATTCTCGCGAGCCAACCTTCGGTACTGCTTATTGATCAGTTCCAGCTGGGTCAGGCGTTCATGGATCTGCCGCTGAAAAGCCTGAGACGACAACATTACAAAGTCTTCTAAGAATTAAGAGCTTTCTTTTCTTTTCTTTTTTTAAAAGAACAAAATATTGAAATTTAATTTCTCCAAAAGGTTTAAAGCAACAACAAACATGGGCGGCAGCGGGAGAAGATGATCAAAGAAACAATATTCCAACTCATCTTCCACATCATCCATACTTGCTTGTAAGCTGTCCATAGGCATTGCTCCGAGGTAAATGCCATGACAGAAACACCCACAAGAAAGGCAGAGGGAGAGGTCAAAAGGTCCTGGAAGGCTTTCATGGCCAGGATCCGAGAGTTGTTGTAGGTTTTTCGGGAAAATGATGGCCACAGAGACTGGCGAAAGGTTAGGAAGAAAAACCACCAGAACATGGCCAAACAGCCCGGAAAAACCTACAACCACATTGGAGAAGTCAATCATTGCCTGAAATCCTTTTGCGTAAATTTATACCATGTGAACCAGATGATATCATCACCTGGCAACCATTGAAATAAACTGAAAGCTACACATCCCCTCTTTCAGGTTTCAGTCCTCCCTGGGGCTCCCTTTGGGAAGAGCCTCAGGACGGGTGGCCAAATCAAAGCTGCTGTTGGGAAATCCTCCCCTTGATAAGAAGTGGATGGCGTCCAAGATGCTCTTAGTAACCTTCATGAACAGTCTACAGTGAAGATGCTCTTAACAGGCTTCATGAAAGAAGATAGCTTGGGGAGCACCATGCAGGCATTCCCCAGAGTGCAAAGGATTGGAATAATGGACATGTTGGACTGGGAAGGGAATTCTCTTGCTTGTACTGAATCTGTAAACATGCTGCCCTTCAGAAAAATGATACAGTGTGAGAAATGTAGAACACTGATGGGCAAGGAAAGGGCACGGTAACCAACTAAAGCATCTGGTGGGCATGATTAGCGGTGTACCATTGAGGCTACAGAATGTAAAGAGACAGTATCAGAGCTACAACAACAATAGAATACGGTGCAAACATTCACGGTGGATTATGCATGGAGGTGTAGGTGCTGACGGATTGATTGGTTTGGTTTATATATTGCCCCATTAGTGCAATGCACAATTTATGGCCAGTTCACGACATCATGAAATAACCAAATATATAAAAATAAATGTATAACCGAGCAATTGAGAGAGTTAAAACAGTTGAAAAATTAAAACCAACGGCACCGGAAGTGCATTCTCTCGGTATAAGCCAAGAGCAGTTGGTGTAACACCAAGCAAGGTCATTGTGGAAGGGCCTCCCTAAAAAGCAGTGTTTTGAGCTGCCTTCTAAACATTAGTAGGGATGGGGCTGGGCGTAGCTTCCACAGAGCCGGTGCCACTGCAGAAATGACAGGGGACAGATGAAAACAGTCCTAGTCATGAAGGTGAGGAGAGCGAGATGGCACTCCGAAGAAGTCGGTATGAAAATTGGAACTGTGGCTACGACGATACCGATGCGGAGGATGAAGATGCTGTTTGTGGTGACACGGGTGTAACAGAACAACCAGGGCGGAAAAAGATAGGCTGGGTGAAAAGAGGAAATAAAATATTGTGTTGAAGAGATCAACGGTGCTGATGTAATCACAGTTGTGTGTCTTGTGCCCTTAAGTTGGAACCAACCGGTCACAACCTTAATAGGGCTTTCAAGGTAAGTGAGATATTTAAGGAGCAGTTTGACCAGTCCCAATTCCCCCAGTGAGTTTCCATGGTGGGCTGGGAGAGTCAAACCCAGACCTCCTGCATCCTGGTGTGCCAACCTATCCACTACCCTACACTGGGCATCTTAATCACAATTGTACAAGGTATGATTCTGGTGTGGCTGATAGATACAAGGAACTGGATCGAAGACTAATGTCATGAACTGCTGACAACTGAAAATAATGATGGGGTGAATAACTAGAAGCAGAGGAGCAACGCTTTGAAGAATGATGATGACAAGTAAAATATCCCCCTAGAGAACATGTCTAAGCATCAATGCCAATCATAGTGGTAGGGTTGTGGTAGTGATAATGGTGGCATAGAGGCGGTGAACACTCTTTTCTACGCCTCAGGGGGGGAAAAAGCAAAAGCAAAGTGTGCTGCTTATATACTGCCCCCCACAGTGCTTCAAGCATTCTCTGGACAGTTTACAAGTTAATTATGCAGGTTACACATTAACACACAGACCCCATAAGCTGGGTATTCATTTTACTGACCTTGGAAGGATGGAAGGCTGATTAAACCTTGAGCCAGCTACCTGGGATTGAACCTCAGGTCGTGAGCACAGTTTTGGCTGCAGTACAGCAGTTTAACCACTGTGCCACGTGGCTACCCAAGGAATCTGTCTTTCCTTTCTTGGATGTTCCAGCTTTGATACATGGCGTCAACATCAGCATCAATGCAGCATCAACACTGAGATTTATATAGTTGATTTCTTAGATATTTTAGAACTACAGAGCTAGCAGGGACCATATGGATCATCAGGTCCAGTCGTCTGGGGGAATCAAATTCCCAGTTCTGGCTCTACAGCCAGATGCATAAACCATTGAGTGGTAGAGACATTTTTGTTGGGTATTTGTTTGATTATTTTCAGTATTTGTATACTCATTGTTGTTAGCTTTAATATTGCCTTTTAATGATGTAAGCTGCCTTGAGTTATTTTAAGGAGAAAAGCAGGGTAAAAATATTTTAGATAGACCGACAGACAGTGATAAATAGAAGAATGACCTGGGGAATCACTGGTGATTTACACATAGATTATATCTTTTAGAAGATTATAAAAATCAGAGATAGCTGGTAAGAGCATAAATGAACACCGAGATTACATATACTCTGGTCTGAAAATGACTGACAAACGTTGCATTCTAAAGAGTCATGTTATATACTCAAGAGGCAAAATAGTCACCTTTTGTATGTGAGAGAGAAATGTTTTATCCACTAAAAAACACCAGTGCTTACAGCTGTGGTTCCCAACCTTGGGTAACCCAGGTGTTCTTGAACTGCAATTCCCAGAAGCCTTCGCCACTAGTTCTTCTGGTCAGAGTTTCTGGGAGTTGCAGTCCAAGAACATCTGGATTACCCAAGGTTGGGAACTCCTGGCTTAAAAAATGGTCATGGAGTGGGGTGGGTGGGTTTTGAGAAAAAAGAAAAGAAAAAACTGAAGAGAGAAGAGAGCCCAAGCCTATGTACATCTGTTCACAAAGCGAAAATATTAAAGAAGCACAATAAATATAATGATAACCATGAACCTAATAAGAAGCATTAAATCAACTCCAATGAGTTGCTTCTGCAGTGGAGAAGACGAACGAAAAGACAGCTTTCTAATACACGAACTGTAGACAGGAGAGGTTGGTCTACCTCCAAACTCTCTGTCTAGAAGGAAATAAATTGTGGCCACGCACAAGTGTGGATCCTCCATGTGATGCACCAAACTCACAGTGG